TGACTATCACAACTGGTTAGTTAATGACGCTTTTTCAGTTTCAGGAATCACATCTTGTGAACTTAGCTGGGTGGTTTCCAAAGAAAATCCGATTGAAACCGCAGCCTAGCTTCCAGGTTGTCAGAAGCCCTAACGTGAACTATTCAGTTTGTCAGTCATTGGAAAATTAATCATCTTATTTAAAGCCCACTCGTCCATTCAAGTTGGTTAGTCTGAAAAGTTATGTTTTGTGAGTTGAATGTTCTCGAGCAAAGCATTCACGAGCTAGGCCCCTAGACTAGGGAAACGGCCGTCAGGTATTTGAATTACTTCGACCTGGCAAAGGAATCTGCAAATCAGCATGAGTGGTTTAGGACTAATTATAATGTTCTGTAGTATGTTTCACAGTTCAGAGTTAAATAAGCCTTTCTCAAGCCTTTTCAATAAGTGATGAATATTTAGATTACCAGTTACCAAATACATCTGAATTGGATGAGAGGTACGTTTTGAATTCTTCTATAAATTACAGGTCAACTATCATTTATTTGACGTTATTCACTGTTCATTTTTCACTTTGTGCTGTTTCAAAGGTCAAATCATATGGGTAGACATTCTGTAAGTAATAGTCCACATAAAAACCAATCATTCATTACCATATAATGTGCGTGAGAAATAAGTTTGACAGATTTATCTACAATTGGAACTAGGCCTATGGGAAACTGCAAGCTGGGATCTGCAAACGCCTATCATTTCATAAAGTCGTTCTAAAAAAAATTTGCGTTTGCAGTCATATTTTGTCATTCTTTATAATCAGTTAAGTTTCCAGTAAAATTGATTTAGCTTCTTCATTCTGACTCCTTCCACCACACCAGTGGCCAAGTACAGTAGTTTTAGGGAACAGCTAGTGCCATGAATAAGATTAAGAAGTCTACCACCAACGTGATACACCGACTGAAACCATCTCCAGGTGAGTCTAAATGGTTTAATTTAATGCCTAAAACTAATAATCCTAGCAGAATATATAGTACTATTAAGGTTCATGAACTAGTTTATCCCATTACATTCATTGATGACTTCATAAATATCCCAACATATGAACTACCGGAGTAGTTAGCTTTGATATAATGCCTTATTAGGAATTGTTCATATTCTAGACTAGTCATTTCCTCAAAGGATGAAGAAATTGTTAGTTTCAGAGCAACAAGCCCTTAAACTAAAATACTAATCAATGTGGGTTGGAGGCATTCAGAAATCAAATAAATATTGACGTAGAACCTACTCATAGAACTAAGATATCATTTAGTGAAATCATATTAGGCGTGCAGTTGTGCCTGGCCTCCAGTCTTCAAGTTTTAGGATAAAATATGTAGGCAGACAGAAGGAGTAGCAATGGGATCACCAATATCCCCGACTGTAGGAAATGTATTTATGGATAGTTGGGAAAGTATAGCTGTACGAACATTTAGTGCTGTACCTGAGATATGGTGGCAATGTGTGGATGACACATTTACTGTGTTGAAATTGGAACATACAAACAGTTTCCTCACATATATAAACTTGACGGCAGGCGCCATCCAACTCACTTGCAAGGTACGAAGAGAACAAAGAGAAGTAGCTGTGATGGATGGCACAGTAAAACGAAGAACAGAAGCTGGTTTGGATACTACCGTCTGCAGGAAACCGACACATTCTAACAGGTATCTGGACTTCAGGTTATTTCATCAAATTTCAGTTAATGTGGGCTTAGTTCAACGTTTAAGCAATATAGTCAGAAAAGTCACTACCTAGTCCTAGGACATAAAAAAGGGAATGAAGCCCCAAAAGAAGCGTTAACATTTAATAAGTATCCTCCCCAGTAAAATCAACGAATTCATACGGACAAACAAGAAACGAAATAATAATAGTAATACGAATATGAATAATAACACGAACATTAGTAAAAATGAGATCAAAGCCTCTATTGTGTGACTATGTAAGGGAGAAACATCGGAAATTTTATGTAAGTTTCTCAACACAGGTGGGATTAGGATGGGATTTAAGCCTACAAACTTACTCAGAGATAAGCCTTGTCAGCTTAAGGATTCGACAGAACCAGTTAACCAAAATAATCTAATCTAACGAATTCCATGCAATGACTGTGAGGTCAAGTACATAGGTGAAACTAGCTAAAGATTGTGTGACCACACTGTTATGTTTATGAGCAGTGATTCATACTGGAAATGATATCACGTAAGCGATACTATATTATCGTGTGCTATATATCAAGTAAACAAATCTAATATGGAATTACATTTTACCACAACGTCCAAGTTTTATATATACTAACAGCCAACATTTTTCCGTAAACTACCTCATTACTGATATTTTAACTCTGTAGGACATAATCTTAGTTTAAGTTTCGATGGTATCATGGTAGTGCAGTGATGGTCAAAATTCATTCTCTCTTTATTTTCCATGAGGTTTGTAGCTTCCTCTAGTGATTTTTACTTGCCTGACTAATAGTGACGTAGTAAATCAACACCTTCTGCTCAAGGTCCTAATTTGAGCTTAGATACATTAACTGTCATTTAATTTGACTATTTCCGGACAAATGTTCAATATATTAAGTAATTGGCTGGCGTAAAAGTAAGTTGGTCTTAGAAGAAGTTTCACCCTCATGCAACCACCCAGTCAGTGAAGATATCGTCTCACATTGAATTTATTGTTGAATGTTAGACAATTAATCAGTGATCGCATACTAGGCTGATTATGTTTGACAAGCTTACTGTTTTTATGATGATAAGGTTTTCATTTATTAAACTTGATTTTACCAATGAACATTATTTTTTGAACAGAGATAGGATGAACAGTTAGTAAATAAGAGTCCTCACTGTGGATCAGTGTCTCTCAATTTTGGACTGCACGCATTTGTTTCATTTAGTATTTATTATTTCAACTGGGATTTGAACTAGAAACCGACCGCTTTGAACACCAGAGCCTTATCCAGTAGACTACTGAGCCACTACAGCCACTTCTTGTGCGACGGGTATAGTTTTACTGCTGTTGCTTGTATCATCCCTTCATTTAGGCATCTGCACAGGAGCCCATATGTCAGTACAGATCGACTAATGGGGTCTGGTCAACGACGGGATAATACGTTCAACAATATCAAAACTAAACACATGGCACAAGAAGTGGCAATCATGGCTAGGTGGTCTAATGGATAACGCTCTGGTGTTTAAAACAGTCGGTTCGGAGTTCAAGTCACAGTTGTAACAACATCACTCATTGGGAGGCAGTTATATCGAGCTGAAGAGTCCAAAATAGGACGAAATGCGCATCCTGGATTCCACTGCTAGCCACTATCCACCATTATAACTGAAACATAGGCAATATCGAGGCATCTGAGCAGGAACCCATATGCCAATACACACCGATCAATTCGGTCGGATCAACGACGGAATAATAAAAACAACAACATTAATATATCCTTTACTGCGAGAATTTAAATGAGCGTTAGCAATGTACAAGGCGGTACTGGATAAACTGTAAAAATCTTGTAGATTGTGAAACGTTATTCCTACATTTTAACAAGTGTAGTGAGATTCTTGTGACTGAATATAATAAACATTGTTATATTACCACTGGCAACCTAATAAATTTACAGACGACATATTTGAGTCATTTCCAGTAGTTCTGCAATACTAAATATAGTATTATGATTTTGATATAAATCATATGACAATGTAGCGACACCATTTGCACCTAAGGAACAATGAATCAACTTTTTTCCTTCCTTTCCCAGTTCCAGCTAGTAGAGAATACGTTAACTGGGTATGATAGTGTATTTGTCACAGTTGTTTTAAAAGTAGATTACAATTCTTGAATTAACTTGTCTTTTCATAGCTTAGACGAACAAGACTGGTAAATATCGTAGTTAAAAAAGATAACTGTCAGTAGGCAAAGCCATAAATATACAATCAGGAAACTGAATGAAATATCAACAAAAGTCAATATGCAGTATTTGGCTACTGAAACAAAGCTCAAACCCGAAATATGATTATTTGAACAAATGTAGTTAGCTGAGGAATTAATTTATTTGTGCTCAGTAGATTTATCTTCGATGATTGATTGGAAGCAGTATTTAAGGTTGCGACTCGTGGTTTCCAACATCTAGCTGGTTACCAACAATAAAATTTAATGTAGCAGAAAGACAGATGCGCCATGGAATTAGAAAATGTAAGATTTCACTATCTTGAGTAAGTTGAAAAACTACTAGGGATTTTTGATCGTATGCATGGTGAAATCTAACGTTCACATCTAATGACTTCGTAGGCATCAAGTTAACATTATCTAATGCAAATAAATATCTGCAAGTTTAAGCGGATATCTGTCATAAAAGCAACCCAACTGAACAAAACAAGCATGTTAATTTTTTTCAATTGTCTGTGTGATCTGTTTTCTATCAGTAACATGCAAAAGGAGGGGACAAGTCAACTTTGAAAATAAAAAAGGAGAACAGCAACAATCGTTTGATACACACAAACACGCATATAGCTAAGTTAACAAAACCTTCTACATATCTTTTCAATACTTAGGAAAGTGGAGAGAGAGTGTAGTGTATTGTTGTTAATACTCATACATATACATTGATGACCGTGTCATAATCATCAAGAGTAAGGGAAAACATTATGAGAATGGGCCAAATCATTCCAGCCTATGATTGGTGGGTAGAGATGTTTTGATTATAAACAATGCTATATATATATATATATATATATATATATATATATATATATATATATATATATATATATATATATATATATATATATATATATACATATATACATATATACATATATACATATATATAAATATATATATATATATCAAGAAAGAAAATGGACTAGTAAGTTATTGTTGGAAACGTCGTTCTTATTTACAGAAAGTAAATATATTTATATCCCTTATTTTTCAGAAACAATCTTCCCTACAGAATTTATAATTTCAAGTGATATAAAGGAGAATAAGAAAGTGTTATGCCTATGCGTATACCACAACCGATACAGATTTGGCTCAATTCAATACATCACCATAGGAAGTTAAAATCACAGGATGTTTTAACGCTGCCAGACACATATGATGATGATACAATTGATAATAATCCTTTATTAATCGGTGGACTGGAAAATTTACTACTTGAAATGATACCTAATATTAGTTGTAAACCAATAATTAAGGACGGAGCAAGTCACGTTGCTCAGTGGATTTGTGAAAACCTAATTATGTTATATGATGATATCGATTGCATGAATAACACTGACAAAACTAGTCAACTAGACGATCAGGATTCTATGTATGATGATTCAAAGCTGGTGACAATTGAGTTGTTACCACAATTGTTTACGTTTATTTCTGTCTATTATGTAAGTCGAAAGTATTTTCAAGAAGATGAATAATTGTTTTTGTATGAACAGATTTGATTTTAGGATAATGGTATAATCGAAGAAAGGTTTCCTAAATGTTCACATCTACTCGCTTTTCATTAAAACAACCTTATCCATACATCATAGACAAAAACCTAATCACAACTTCGATTTGGTTTTAACTCTGATTTTAGGTGTCTAAATAATTGCATCCTTTTAGCATATGAGTGTTATGAGTAGCCCATTGTTTCTTTCATCGCAGGATCTAATGATGTACTTTACTATGATGCAAAGTGTGGTAAATCCGTACAGTAGGTTAGCCGAATTGGTTGTTTTGGATGTAATAGAGACAACTTTAATGATAAATTTGTACCCAAACTCCTTTTATTCAACCGCATAATGGCATAAGAGTGCGAAATGAACAGAACCTTTCAGCAATTACAAAAATATGTTTAAACTTTTTTAACCATGACTGATTTTCTCATAGTGTAGTTCTAAAGGTCATTGAAGCATTTATTAATTATCATTTGGCTATTTGAACCGCAGTTTGGTATACTGATATTTATACAGGGTGATGATTGAAGGTGAACTGAAAATCGTGACCTCAGCCGGATTCGGACCAGGGATCACCGGGTTGCCGACCCGGTGCTCTACAACTGAACTTTGTGTCAAATACAACCTGACTACATGTTTTAATAATTCAGACATATTTTCGAAAAAAGTGTGTGCTTGATTTCTCAGAAGGTCTTGTAATAAACACTTTGTTTAATAAAACGTGCAAAACATTATTGAAACTTGTTGAGACTGAATGAGTATCCTACGTTTCTAAAGTTACTGTTGGACTGACTTTTAAATAAGATGATTAGTATTTTATTCGATATCTCCTCCTTAGTCCAACTGCTCAAACAAAATATTTCTTTACATTAGGTTTTTAGGGACAGTCATCGGAAGACTCTAAATCTAATATTCTTGTTTGTTAGACATTGCCATCAAATTTTATATACGACTGGGAGGGGAACAATACACCCTAAAAATAGGAACATTCAGCGCTTCATAATTTAGTCAAAGGCTCTATCTTCTTGCTATTCCAGCTTTTCAAGGGTCGATTTTATGTTCCCGACAACTCATATTTCACTGAAACGGTGAATCTCATATCTTTCTGTTTCTATTGCCAGACTTTACAGTGAGATTCGTTTGGCAATAAAGACTAGGTTGCATGATATTTGTCAATTGAGTGACCGATAACTCTCCTATATTGTTCGTTTATATTGGTGTGTTCCTTTATCGGATGGAAATTTTTACTTATAATAAATTGTAAGTTTCAAAAAATGCTTTTGATGAGCAAGAAATTACTGTAAATTATAATGGAGATAATTACTATAATATTATTATTTGTTCCCTAGGTTCCTAGTGAAACATAGGGCTTCAGTAGTACGTCTCCATTCCACTCTCTTTTCTGCAATCTTTTCAACCTGGCCCCACCACTGCCCACAAGCTTTCATTTCCTCTTCACATGATATCGTCCATGCCAACCTCGCCTCGGACGCCCAACTCGTCGTTTCCCTTTGGGTTTCACTCGACGGCCTGGTGCGTGATGTCTCTGAATGGCTTTCTCAGTGCATGTCCAATCCATCTCCACTTTTTTCTGTACATTTGTTGAGCGATGGGTTCTTGATTGGTTCGTTCCAGAGTTCCTTGTGCTTATTCTTTCTGGCCATGCATCTAATCTTCAGTATCAAGTGAGCGCAGGTGGCAGCTGTTGGTGGATGTCTGTAGTTCCTTGGAAACACTTTTCGTAACGCGCCAAGTTTCTGAACCATCACATAGAAGCACTGACCTGACATGGGTGTTAAAATCCGGATCTTGCTCTTTATGCTTTCTTGCTTTTTCAATCTTAGCTTTGACACCCTCATTTGTGCCCATGCCGCCTGTAGTTGAAACGATGCTGCTTAAGCAGGTAGGTGAAAGACTACTTCATTTAGGTCTCTCCCGTTGATGATGATTGGTGCTTACTGTTGTTGGTTGGGTATCTTCTTCACCTCCCTCTTCTCTACATCCACTTGAAGTTCCGTTTTCGCTGCCTAGCTTTTTCTGTCAACTTGTTGGTTTTTGCCTGTAGATCTTCGAGTTTGTGCGACATGACATTAGACACAAATCATTATCGGCAAAACCCAAATCTTCTAGTGAGTTTTAACTTTTCATAGGTGATGAGTTTGCCGACAATACTAGAATATCTCACACAGTATGATATCTTGGGTTATAAAGTGATAGAAATAATTTTTATTCGTATGAGAATAAACATTAACATTTTTAAGCAGCAGAATTTGAGGCATAATGAATCATGTTTTGGTGCTTTACAGCATTAAATGAAAGGCTATTTTAAGGATTTCAGCAATGTAGTTTAGCCTGTTTGATATAATTTTAGAATATTTCATAGAGCATAAACTGATAGTTAATAAACGTATTTTAGTAGCTTCGTTCATATGAAGAATTTACTGTCGAAAAATACGCAACTCATTTTCAGATAAAGGCAAACAAATAATCAGATGAATAAAGTCTAAAAGTCCCACAAAGTTGCAATGATTCAAACTACTATACTTTGCAACACCACAGAGATAAGGCAGATGAAAGAAGAGAAATATGAGAATTTGAAGAATATATCAGAGAAATGAGAGGATATAATGAATAGTCCAAAAATTGGACTATAAAGGATGAATACCCCACATCTAGGGTGACTGATTTTATTCTGTATATTACCATAAGCCTGCAACTATCGGTTTTAAATATAGAAGACCCTAATCACTCCTTGGAAGACCTGTGTAAGCCTTTCAAGGAAAGTTGTAAATCACCTATACGAGCATGTAATGACTTTTCTACAGTTAATATACACTTCATTTGTTTGACAATAACAAGAGATTTGGCAATGAAATGCAGAAATGTATTTATAAGTAAAATATTAGTTGGGTTAGTAATATAAGAATGATAAGGGTTACGCGTTTAAATAAAGAAAACTACCTATCTTCAGTTGAAAGGTAATACTAGATCTTCAGCAGCTTCACACTTCAAATGTGTAATTTAACTTTGATTTTAAAACTAATTAAAAATCAGAAAAAGGCAATGAGATGGTAATGATAGATTTTTAAAGTCAGAAATTCATGATAACAATGCTTGTTATTTTGATAAATATTATAACCATGCTTAAAATAAATATGACTTCCATAACTGTTCAATGTTCTTCAAACCTTGAGATCTATTCTGAGATGTTTCATCAGTCACTTAGGTGACAACATTATCGTTAACACTCAATGACGGTAAACATGCTTCAAAAGCACTCTTTCAACTTGGAAAGACTTCTTTTCTTTATCAAATTAGTGCTAATGAAGTCGTTTAGCATGGTGATGAAAGTATTAAGAATAAATCTTAAAGCCAGGAGAACACTAGACAACGATTATCACCACGCTTTGCCAAAAATATTCTTTATTGTTAAAGAAACATGAGTTTAATCTCGGAAAATGAAGTCTACTCTAGTTTTCATAGAAAAATTACATAAAGTGTAGTAGATTACGTGAAACGGGGATGGTTGACTGATAAAAGCGATGTTTAAAGTCGAAGATATCACGCTAGTTGTTTCAAAAGTAGTGACGAATGGTCACAGGGATAATTAAAAATTACTACAGTCAGGTCGTGTTAACTAGTGGAAACAATTAAGACAACTATATACTCACACCTTACCCTTTATTATCATACTTTGGAGTTGAGGTGGTAAAGGTATAAAATACACTTGCTCATACTATCAGTAAGAGTGTTTGATAAGTGACTGAGAAAAAGCTGCTGAGTGGTGACCCTACTCTGTTCTCCACTTGTCTTTCCAAGGAAAATACCATCTGATAACATATATAATATCTAAGTTGAAATCAAATTCTAGAAAAGCCTTTTGAATTTAGCTTATTTTCTGTTTTTGATGAGAAGGTTTATAAATGTTCAGGTTTTCGGTTTCCGTAGTCTTACTAACGAAGAAATACCTGTGTAGTATGGAGAAAACCAGTTTGTTTTAAATATATTTGTAGTTGATGTGATCACTGGCAATACTTTAACTTGAAATATTAACAAAACTAAATAACATCATTATTGTGTGTAAATATTCAATACAAGTATATTTATAATAAGTTAACGAAGGAACATCTTGCCGAATGTATATGAATATGGATGTGTAAACAAAGTTCTACTGAAGCGATGTTTTAAGATATTTGCCAATATGGATGACTAATATTTGACTTAGCGTTGTGCACTTCCATTTCCATTGCACTGTATGTGACAATAAATAATAATTACAGATAAAGGGCTGAGACATACATATTGAGTATCACTTAAAAAGTGTTATATATTCGAGAGAAAATATTTCAGTGGAAAAATAAATTTCTCATCATAGTCACTAGTGATCAGTTCGAAAGAAATCTTCGGTGCAATAGAAACAGATGAATATTCGTAATTTTACCTCCTTAGAATAGAATTTATCGCCAGTTACGCTATTTAAGAGTTCCACTATTCAATTAGCTGCAAGGCTAGCAATTAGAAATCAGCCATTGGATGCTACAAGAATATATTTTAATATAATATAAACAATGTATATACGTATATTTATTTATTTATCATTATTCAATTAGACTCAGCTTTCAGCTTCTTCCAGGACATCTGGTCTGGAGGTTTATATTCTTTTCATGCGCCTATTCAGGAATTGCCATTTGTTTAAGGGGTCTTTTAATAATAAACGCCAAAGGAAAGTTCATCATCAAACCTGAAGCTTTGACTAGTTTTTTCGGATTTAAATTCATCCAACAGCTTTAATTCTGAGGATTAAGACAGGTGGAACAATACCTTGTCTTGATTTCAAAAGAATTCGAATAAATTATGCTCAAAGTCCTCTTATATTGATAAAATGGAAAGTTGGGGATTTTCGGTATTGTTTAGTAAACTTCTGGATTAAAAGCATAAAAAGAAAA